GTTATACTAGGCAACCACTAGGGTACTTTCTGTCTCTATAGATTTTCCTATATAGGATATTTCATATACGTGAAATAATGTAATAAACAGTCTTTTGTTACTGGCTGCCTTCACTCAGCATAATGTTTTTAAGGTTCATACATATTGTATCATGGATGTGGCATGTATCAGTACTTCATTCTTTTTATTGCTGAATAATATTCCATTTTATGGATATGCTACATTTTATTTATCCATTAATCAGTGGATAGACATTTGGGTTATTTCCACTTTTTTTTTTTTTGAGGAAGATTGGCCCTGAGCTAATATCTGTTGCCAATCTTCCTCTTTTTTCTTTTTTCTCCCCAAAGCCCCAGCACATAGTTGTATACCCTAGTTGCAGGTCCTTCTAGTTCTTCTATGTGGGACCCTGCCTCAGCATGGCTTGACAAGCGGAGAGTAGGTCTTCGCCCAGGATCCAAACCAGTGAACCCCAGGCCACCAAAGCGGAATGTGCCAACTCAACCGCTATGCCATTGGCTGGCCCTCCACTTTTTACCTATTATGAATAATGCTGTTTTCTTTTTGTTTACATTTATCTGGTGTATCTTTGACCATCTATCTATCTATTTTTATTCTTTTATTTTTAATCTTTCTTTGTCTCATTGTTTAGGTATTTTTTTCACAGTTAAGATTCAGCTAGCTTTTTTATTTTTTATTTATTTATTTTTTTTTTAAAGATTTTATTTATTCAGTTTTTTCCCCCCAAAGCCCCAGTAGATAGTTGTATGTCATAGGTTCACATCCTTCTAGTTGCTGTACGTGGGACTCGGCCTCGCGTTGGACGGAGAAGTGGTGCCTCGGGGTGCTCCTGGGATCCGAACCCGGGCCGCCATCAGCTAGCTTTTTTAAAAATCCAATTTGACAAGCCCTTTTTGAAAGAGGAATTCAGCCTATTTATTGTATGATAACAGATATATTGGATGTTATTCTTTTCATTCTATTTTGTTTACTATTTATTCTACTTTATTATTTCCTTTTTCCTTTTCCTTAATTTTGCTGCCTTAATCAAATTTCCTCATCCTCCTTGTTATTTTAGAAGCTCTACTATGCTTTTCAATTCTATCATGGTTACCTTCCCATTGCCAACATCATAATCAAGTGTGTATTTCTTTATTAACATACCACAATTAAATAATGACTAAGCCTTCAGAATACTTTTATTTCTCTATTCTCCTCCACTCTTAATGTCTCCATTTTGCTAGACTAGATTGATATTTCTCATCTACGGTTTTAATTACATTTCTCTTTAGTTCATTTCTTCTGTTTGCAGCATACTTACTTAGAACAAATAATACAAGTTTTTGGACATTCTTACAACTTTCCCAGAAGAAGGCTAAGGAAGGAAAGTGAATTATCTTTTAGCAAAGTACTATTTTGCTTTTTACCCCAAAAAAGACTGCCCATGCTGACCATAGTCATGATCTCTGGTGAGCAGGATGCATGTTGATGTTCAAGAATAATTTTCTGTTTCAGGATGTGCTTAGCATGTGCACTCTTCCTCCAGCCCAGGGGCACTGGTGGAGACTAAAGATGTGTGCTGTGCTTTCCTCTGCCCTGTCTTTGCTCATCTGCCTGGAATGTTTTCTCTCGTCCATCTCCATCTCCATCTTCCCAGGCCATCTCTTTTAGAGCCCTTTTCTGACCCAAACCAGATGTGAGGGCTTCTTCCTTTGAACCCCACAACGTACCTTGTTTATATCTCTCTGACACTTAACCTCATTCATTGGCCTTGTATTACTGAGGTTTGGGTATTTTCGTACCTTCACCCCTCTCCTCTTCTCTTCTGGGGTGGGGTGTAAAAAAGGTATCTTGTCTTTGAATTCCCAGTGCCTAGCACAGTCCCTGGCACATAATACATACTGAACTGAAATGACTAGAATGTACTATATGGGTTATGGAATCCCCCACTTGAAGGGCAAATCAGTAGATTTTGATTTAGTGAAGACTTTTGTGTACTTTTATTTTTTGCAGCTAAGAGATAAAGTGTTTGTAGAGAAGAATTGTCTTCATTGTGCCCTAGATGTGCACATTCTCAAGAATCCCCTTTCTAAAAGCAAAACATTTATCACTCACTAATGATCTTAATAACTCTCCTTCATTGAGGGCTTTCCACTCTCTACTGCTACAGTATCCCAGGAAATTTGATCTGTTCAGAAGCTAGGCTTGAAAAAGTGGTAACGTGGATATTTCATGTATCATTATCCTGTTACTTGTTCCATCAACCAGGCGCGCAGGTGTTTAGCTCTCAATTACCATGGTGTCTGTAAAAAGGTATAAATGCCCACCTACAAAAAAATTTTTTAATATCTTTTCTGCTTCTTTAAAATTTTTTTCTGTCTCGTTTTTATTTCCATTTGTTTGATAAATATGTTTCAAGAGCTTGCTGTAGCTGCCTTCATGCTGCAGAAATATACTGCTCCTCCCTCATGGGCTCACAGGATAATGGGGAGTCAGACAAGTAAACAAACAGAGTGATTTCCCTCTGATGGGGTGAGAGCCTGTGACTGGGGAAGGCAGAGGCGGGCCCCTACCCAATCGTGGGTACCAAGGAATGTTTCTCAAAGACTATAGGGATCAGAAGACTGTGAGGATGAGGAAGAGTTTGCCAGATATGGGTGATGGAGGGAAAGGGTGGGAGAATAGTATGCTGGGCGGAAAAACGAGTGACAGAGAACTTCTGCACGTTTGAAGAAGTGCAATTATTTCAGAATGGTTGGAGTGTCCCTGTAAGAGATGAGGCTTTTCTGTCTTTCCTCTGTTACTTTTCTTATTTCTTTTTTTGCTAAGGAAGATTCGCCCTGAGCTAACACCTGTGCCAGTCTTCCTCTGTTTTGTATGTGGGTTGCCGCCACAGCATGGCCGCTGAGGAGTAGTGTAGGTCCGTGCTGGAGAACTGAACCCGGGCTGCCAAGGTGGAGTTTGCCTAATTTAACCACTAAGCCATGGGGTCAGCCCCTCTGTTTCATTTTTAATTTTTTTTACAAATACAGTGCTAAGGCACTGGTGGTTTAGCCATATGGCAAAACAGGCCCTCTGTTGTGCTAAGTACTAAGCAGACCTGGGCAAGCTATGGCTCTTAAGAGCTGAGCTTAAAGGTATTGGCCTCGCAACCTAGATACTTCATAGATGCAGGGACAGTGTCTGATTCACTCACTGCTCTGTCCTCAGCCCTGGTACAGGGCCAGACAGCGGTTGGAGCTCAGTAAATATTCATTGGATGAATAAGATGGCCACCCAGGACCCTGGGGAGATGCATATTACCCTTTGGCACACTCTTGACAGCTTGGGGCCCCCAACGTAGGTCCTGGGGGTATCTTTGAGCAATGAAGTGGTTAACTCAGCTGCAAGCCTCCTATGACAGATTTCCTAGCGAGAACCTACTCACAGAGCAGTGATGCCCTTGATATTGCCAGCCAACTAATTCCTTAAGTACTCCAAGTTAGGAAAGGCCTGCTGATTTGATTTTATCTGTCTTTTAAGACTGATCTTTGATCATATCCCATTCCAGCTGGACTTCCTCTCCTCTTCTTCCCTCTTCCATTACTGATGGTGCAGGATCTAATTACCTCATCACCCCTTAATTTATTTATGAAAAGGCTGAGGTTATAGAAAAGAAGAATAAAACTCCTGGCCCCTTTGGGGACCTTCTGTAAAAGCTTTTCTGTCCCCATTCCCTCCCTTATGCCTGATAAAACCTGCTTTTCTGTCTATGGCAAGTTGGAATTGTTCTTACTTACAAATTCATATAAATGAACTTCCCTCCCGGGGCTGAGCAGAGGCCAGCTGTGTGGGTTAAGCCTGGCCTGCTGACTCCCGATGGATCAATCAATCAATCAACAAGAATTCATTGATCTTGCAGGAAGCAGCTTTCAAAACCAGCACACAGCTCCTAGACATCCTGGCTTCCTCTTCACAAGACACTTGGGGAAGTAGACATCTTTGGAAATTTTTAATTTTATTATCACACAAATAATACATGTATACCTTCATGTTTTAAAAAATTTAAACGACACAGAAATATGCGGAATAACAAGTGAAAGGCTTTCTCCTCGTTTCCTTATATCTCATCCCACTGTTAAGAGCTTGAGATGTGTCCTCTTATTCAGACCTTTAAATAATGCACTTTCATACATGTACACCTATTTAAATAAACATCTAATTTTAAAAATAACAAATGGGATCACAAAGTGCAGTTTTTTTTTTTTTTTTTTAACAATATGCCCTGGACATCCTTCCTGTCAGACCACACAGATCTACATTTTAATGGCTGAAATAGTTACTTCACAGCACAGAGGTACCATTATTTATTTATCCATTTTCCTACTGATACGCGTTAACATAGTTGCAAAATTTTCAGCATTACAAGCTATGTTGCAAGTACCGGTTCTCTGGGAATTGTCCATTCAATCATGAATTTATCGTGGGCTCACCATGTGCCGCGCACTCTACTTGGGTTTGGGGGTAAACAAAACAGACATCTAAAAATAGTTTTGAGCGATGGAAGGGGGCAGTTCCTTTTTCCAAGAGGGCGAGACAGGCTCAAGATCAGACAGGCTGAAGATCGGTCTCTACATCAACCCAGGAGGCCGAGGAGTCCGCCGGGGTGTCTCCCCAGCTGTGAAAAGGGGGCTCCAGGACCCGTAGGTGCCGGCAAGGAAGATGAGTGGAGGGCGTCAGCGCGCCCAGGGTCTGAGGGCTGCGGTTCTGGGGGGCTGTAGCAACGAGCCGCTCATCACACACCACGCCGGGCGCGGAGCCGGAGGCGCAGCACAGGTCCGGCAGGGCGGGGCGGAGCCGAGCGGCGCGCGAACCTCCGCGCGTTCGGGGAGGTACAGACCCGGTCGGCCTCTCTGGCCCCCCGCTCCCGCGGGCTCTATGACACCGCGCAGGCTCGCGGGACGGGGCGGAGTTGGTTGAGGGAGAGGAGAACTCGCCACCCTGTACATCTCGCGATGAGCCTCGCGCGGAACTCTCTCGCGAGAAGTAGGAAGTACCGCGGTTGCGTACCGCAGCAGCGCCTTGTGGTGGTGGCAGGATAGCCGGCGGGTGTGCGGCGGCGGCAAGTCAGAGTGGCGGCTGCTGCGCTCCCCGCGAGTCGCCACCATGAGCAGCACCTTAGCGAAGATCGCGGAGATCGAAGCCGAGGTAATGGGCGCAGCTGGCGCTTCACTCTCCGTCCTAGCGTTCTTTATTGGGCGATGTCGGTCCTGCCTGAACTTCCTTCAACCGCGTCAGGAGCGGGCCCGCGTTCCCCGGCTCCCCTCAGCCCGGGCCGGCCTTCCACACCCCCTGCACCTTAGTCGGTACCCCCTTCCAGTGTTCGACTCCTGTCCGAACATTGTTTATCTCGGTCTTTCCTTCCATTTCTGTGAATGCTGTCCTCCTGCTCCAGCCCTGACCTGCTCACGTATTTCAGTATCTTTCCTTATCATCCCTAGACCCCCTGCCCCCCTTCCCCATTCTCTACCTTGATGACGCCCTTTCCCAGAGTATTGCTCTCAGGAATAGGATCTGGAAGTAGATTGACATCTGTGGAAGCTGTTGGATTATTCTGTGATTGTGTTGTCTGAAGCGCTCAGGGCTCTTTCACATCGGGGAAAGTGGTGACCCTGTATCAGATGGGGCACACCAAGTACAAGCAGTAGAGAAGGCATCGGTAGCTGAGTTTTAGTCTAATCCGTGGATACTGATTGTAATGACCTTGGTCATGTCTCTTCTCTTTGGGCCTCAGTTGTTTGCTGTGTAATGAGGTGAGTGGGTGATGGAGAGAATGGATTTTTACTCTTTTTTAAGTCTGACTAAAATGAGTATATTGACATTAGTAGAACCTGGAAAAAACCATGTTCTCTCAGAGCTGGGGGAGCATTCATTCTGGATATTTTATCTAGCAGGACACGCTCCTAATTTATGGCTGTGATTCCTTCCTTATAGATGGCTCGGACTCAAAAGAACAAGGCCACAGCACACCACCTAGGGCTGCTGAAGGCTCGCCTTGCTAAGCTTCGCAGAGAACTCATTACTCCAAAAGGTGGTGGTGGTGGTGGGCCAGGAGAAGGTTTGTGTTTTTCATCCACCTTTTTTTTTTTAATATGTAATTTCTATCAAAATAGTACAGGTGTGTGGTTTAAAAATAATTTAAAAATTTCTATTAAAATAGATTTGTATTTTCTAAGCCTAAATTCTTTTTTTTTTTATGAGGAAGATCAGCCCTGAGCTAACATAACATCCATGCCAATCCTCTTCTTTTTGCTGAGGAAGACCGGCCCTGAGCTAACATCTATTGCCAATCCTCCTCCTTTTTTTCCCCCTTTTTCTCCCCAAAGCCCCAGTAGATAGTTGTATGTCATAGTTGTACATCCTTCTAGTTGCTGTATGTGGGACGCAGCCTCAGCATGGCCGGGGAAGTGGTGTGTCGGTGTGCGCCCGGGATCTGAACCCCGGGCCGCCAGTAGCGGAGTGTGCGCACTTAACCGCTAAGCCACAGGGCCGGCCCCTAAGCCTAAATTCTTGAAATGTGTTTATTTTATTCTGCTGGTTCCAAAGGCAAATAAATATTGTCTAAATGAACTAGGGTTTTATTTATGTATATCTTGTACTGATTCAAAATAGATTTACATTGGCTTACAGAAATATGTAAATATATACAGTCAACAAGATAAAAAATAGGTGAGGAAATTGATGCAAAGGGAAATGAAGTTAAGGAGAATAAGTTGAAGCTGAGAGAGATTAGGACCAAAAGTCATGTCATAAAAGCTGTATACTTCCTACAGAAGGGCCACAGATTTGGCTTTGAACTTGTTTGCAGCCATTGTGAAAAAAAAAAAGAAAATCTGGTCAATCACGCAGTTCCCAGGATTTGTAAGACAAAAAGAAACCCGTTTTTTTTAGATTAATTATTATCTAATATTTGGGCCTTAAATACTGTAGATACTAGACAGGTATATAATAGTTTTTATGGCATTTTAAGTGGTAGAGAAATACATTTTTTATATCAAACACTCCATTAAACGTTATGAATTGCTGTAGGGGGAGTTTTATGTGCTTAAGGTCTGCTTAAGCCAGCCCTGGTGGTCTAGTGGTTAAGATTTGGTGCTCTCACCGCTTCTGCCTGACTTGGTTTCTGAGTCAGGGGAACCATACTACCTATCTGTCTCTTGTCACACTGTAACTGCTGTATGTTGCTGTGATGCTGAAAGCTATGCCACAGGTATTTCAAATACCAGCAGGGTCTCCTATGGTGGACATGTTTCAGCAGAGCTTCCAGACTAAACCAGACTAAGAAGAAGGAGCTGGCCGCTCACTTCCAAAAAAATTGGCCACGAGAACTCCATGAATAGCAGCAAAGCATTGTCTGATATAGTGCAGGAAGGTGAGAGGATGGCGCAGAAAGACCTGGCAGGGTTCCGCTCTGCTGTATACAGGGTTGCTAGGAGTTGGAACCTACTGGAGGGCACTAACAACAACAACAACAGTGCTCTACTCTAGAGGTAGACTGTAAAAAGTTGGAGCAATAGGTCCTAGAGGGCTAGGCAGCCAGAATGTGAATGGAATTACGTGAGTCTTGGCCCTCCCGGGGATAACTTTCTTCTTTTGATATTTATTGATGTTTTTAGGTTTTGACGTGGCCAAGACAGGTGATGCTCGAATTGGGTTTGTGGGTTTTCCATCTGTGGGGAAGTCAACACTGCTCAGTAACCTGGCGGGGGTATATTCTGAGGTGGCAGCCTATGAGTTCACTACTCTCACCACTGTGCCTGGTGTCATCAGATACAAAGGTGCCAAGATTCAGGTGAGTCAGGCCTGCAGGCCAAGGAAGGGAGGAAATCCATTCTTTCATTCATTTAAAAATTACTTATTGGGAGCTCTCTGTATGCTAGGCCTGATTTTGATATACCAGGCCCTCACTGTCTAGTGGGGGAGATAGAGCAGTACATAAAGACAATAATAGAGTGGGATAGTGCCTGTGAAAATGCAGAGAAAGAAGGGACTACTTTTTTACCTGAGGATGGTGGGGAGGGTCTGGTAAGACAAAAAAACGTTTCTTGTAGAAATTGACAATGGAGGTGGGTCTTGAAGTTCAAATAGAATTTCACTAGCCAGAGAAGGTAAAGGACAATTTCAGGCAGCTGTAACAGTGAACAGCCTGCTGTGGTGCAAGCTTAGGTGTGGGATGGGGTGGTAGAAACTGAATCTGGGAAGGTAGGCTGGAGCTGAATTATGAAGGGCCTTGTGTGCTTGCTAAAGAAGTTGAGTTTTACCTTGTACGTAGCTAGGAACCATCAGAAACTTTTAAATAAAGAAATAACATGATCAGACCCTTTTTAGAAGATAATTCTTGTTTGTGAAGCCTAACGAAGTTGGTGTCCTGAGAAGTTCTTCTTAGATAGATGATAGATTTAGGGCTCCCAAGTGGAGAGTCCCCTTGGGTATGAAAGAATGTGTATGTAAAATATAATGGAGCATATTCTTGTTGGCTGCACAGCTAAGAAGGCAAGGTTCTGAGTCCATGCCATTTGAATCTAGGATAGAGGTTCCAAAACTTTCTTGGTTCACATCACCCTTAGTGTCTCAACAATTATTTCATGACACCTTTTCTTGTCCCAGTAATTTTTTATGGTGCCCCAGGCCAAAACAAAAAAAAAAACAAAAACGTAATGGTTCTGTTTGTTAAATAGGTCCAAACAACTTAAGTATTTATGTCCTTATGGCCACAGTTATTTACTAATGGGATATGAAGACTGTTGGGTACTACATAACTTCTCAAGACTTGGAATCAGGTTGGATAGTGCCACATTTGTTTCCTTGCCATGTTGATTTTTGTGTAGTGCTTATTTTTTACCACAGCAACTGCTGAAAAGTCCAACTTCCCAAAGATTTGGAGCTGATGTAATTGAAAGCACTATGGTGGGATCTAATGTTGAAATTGTGAGCTACCTGGAGCTAGTAGTTCCCTCAGTGCCTGACATATATCAAGAATTGCTGTTTTCCTTGAAAATTTAGAATATCCAACGGCACATCTAAGTTCTCCGTGGTGCCCCAGAGTGCCTTGGCACATCGTTTGGGAACTATTGGTGTAAGCATTTGTTTTCCCGCTTGCTGAGCTAGTGAGTTGTGAGGTACATTCATGCTGCTTTATTATAGAATCTGAAATAGGCAGGGACCAGTGTCCTGGTGGTATTTTCAATGGCTTTTTTTCCTGCTGGTTAGGTGCCCATGCAGAGACTGTGTTGGACCGTGTACCTTTCTGGGACTCCAGGTCCAAATGTATGTAACAAGAATGAGGACACTTTCTCATATCTGGACCACTGCTTGATTCCATCTGGTTTCAGAGTTTTGTTGATAGTCACACCTTTGGCAGCTCAGAGAGTAACCTCTGTCCTGATGGGATGCTATTAACACCTTTCTCAAGACTTCTGAGTTTATCAGGATAAAGAGCTTCTTAACTCCTCTATTTCCATGTCTTTCCCACAAAACCTTCATTCATTTCAGTTTCTCGTGGCCTTTCAGTGTTTTCTCTTCTTTTTTTTTTTTTCTCCTTTTTTGCATAGTGCTTTCTTTTCTGCCTATGCCCTCTGCCTGTTTTTCCTCCCCTTCTGACTTTCTCCAGAAACCAAGTTAAGTAAGCATACTAATAGGTGTGCTTAACAGGGTTAGGAAGACTGCCCCTCAGATATTTTTAGATGGCTGTTTTGTGGCAGAGGTTTCATTATCTGTGACTTGGTGGGGGAGGTGTACAAAATTAGAACCACTTAATGAGAATTATAAGCAGGGAAATTTCTGTTTTTTTTGTTAGGAAGGAAGATCTTTTTAACAGCAATGGTGCTTAAAAATGGAATGGTACCTCTTGAGGTAATGAATTACTGTGTCTGGAGGTGTTCAAGTAGTGGCTGAACCATCACTAACCAGGGGTGTTATAAAGAAAAGTGATGTATCATATAGGCAAAGATTGGCCTGTAGAGTGGATATAGAGTGTTTTAAAAATTATAGGGCTTAGGTTTCACCTTGCCAGGGTCCCTGGGACTCCTGTTGTCCTATATATAATTGACTTGAACATTTAAGTTATCTGCTTTAACCTCTAAGGGTGTTTGAGTTTGAAGTAGGTTTACACCCAGTTCTTAAAATCCTACAATTCCATAATTTAAAGAAATATTTTTTATTATCTCTTAGTTGGTTGTAATATGAAATTCAGCATAGGCTATTTTTACTGAATGTTTAGTTGCCGCATTTAAATAGTTCAATGTAACTTTAAAAATATTTCCCTCTCAAGAAAAGTGAAGTTTAACTTTTTACCTTTATAGGAGCCTCATAAATTTCCCCACCTGTGTTCAACTGTCATAGTTAGAAAGCCCTTGCTCTTTTCTTTCAGTGTAATATCCTCTCTCTGATGATCTTTTACTTGACACTATAGTCGTATTCCAGATGTAGGAGTTTTCGATTATTTAGATGGATTTTTGAGTTCTTGATAACATCATTTAGGCTCAGTATGCAGTAAAGCCTTTGCTGATGGAATACTTTTTTTTTTTTTAGCAGAAAGGAGTTTATTAAGTGGTAGAAGTAGATTACAAAACCTTTGGGAGGGCTGAAGAGATAGACTCTAGACTTAATTTCTAGGAACAACTAATGATGGATCTTTTTCTTTGTTTTTTCAAACATCTTTATTGAGGTACAATTCATGTACAATAAACTACACATAAAGTATATGGAAGTTTTGATGTATCTATACACTGGTGAAAACCTCACCTCAATCCAGATTGTGAACACATCATCCCCAAAAGTTTCTTCATGCCCCTTCCCTCCTGTCCTTCCTTGTCCCGTTCATCTCCAAGCAGTCACTTATCTACTGTTTGTCACTATAGATTAGTTTACATGTTAAGAATTTTATGTAAATAAGACTGTAAATATAAATGTACTCTTTTTTGTTTTTTGGCTGGCTTCTTTAATTCAGCGTAATTATTTTGAGGTTCTCTTATATCACTCACCCTGCTGCCCCTAATGTTAACATCTTACATAACCATAGAATAATTATCAGGGATAGATTAACATTGGTGCAGTAATACTCACTAAACTATAGAACTTATTTGAATGTTTACCAGTTTTCCCACCAATATCCTTTATTCTTTTCCAAGTTCTATCTGGGATCATCCCATGTTCCATTTAATTCTTTCTCCTTATTCTCCTGCCATTTATAATAGTTCCTCAGGCCTGTCCTTCATGACCGTGACACTCTTAGAGAGTATTGATCAGTTATTTTGTAGAATGTCTCTAGAATGTAGAATGGGTTTGTCTGCGGTTTTCTCATGGTTGACTGAGGTATGTATTCTTAGCAAGAATACCAGAGAAATGATGGTGTGTCTTTCTCAGTGCATCTTATGGGATTCATGGTGTCGGTATGTCTTATTGATGGTGTTAACCTCCATCAGTTGGTTACAATGGTGTCTGCAGGGTTTCTCTATTGTAAAACTATAATCTTTCTTTCTTTTTTTTTTTTTTGAGGAAGATTAGCCCTGAGCTAACATCCGTTGCCAATCCTCCTCTTTTTTTTTGCTGAGGAAGATTGGCCCTGGGCTAACATCTGTGCCCATCTTCCCCTACTTTGTATCGGACACTGCCACAGCATGGCTTGACAAGCGGTGCGTCATTCCAGGCTGCCGCAGCAGAGCACACGAACTTAACTGCTACGCCACTGGGCCGGCCCTATTTCTTTTTTTTTCAATCTTTTTTTTTTAATCTTTCTTTTTGTAGTTAATAAATATCTTGGGGGAGATGCTTTGAAAAGATGCAAATCCTGTTTCTCAAACTTGTCCAGTTATTTTAGCATCCATCTGTGGGTCTTATCCGAAACAAATTATCATTATGCTTCTTGCCTAATGATGATTCTCTAGTTGTCTCTTTATTACATTTATTAATTGGAATTCTACTGTATGAAACAGCTGTTCCTTCTTTCCCATTTATTTATTTATTCAAAAATTTGTATCAGTGTGGGCTAATGGATATTTATTTTATGGGTTATAATCCAGTACTACCATTACTTTATTACCCAGATTGTTCTAGCTTTGACCATTAGGAACTCCTTCAACTTGGCTCCTGTGTTCTTTCCATAAGCCCCCATCTTTTTGTGAGTACTTCCTTATTTTCTGGCACCACATGGTGTTTCAGGCTAATCTTATATTTTCCCTGCCCCAGCTCTGGAATCATCCATTTCTGAGGGAGCTCTAGTTCCTTTTATTGGAGAATGGTGTTTAGAAATCAAGATCTAGTGTGCTTATTACTCCCAATGTAGTCTTTTAAATAAATATAACTGAAGTTTCCAAGTCAAGGCAGGTGTATTCAACATAAATTATCTTTTTTGAAAGAGAAAGGGTGGCTCAATTTGGTGTGTCGTATCAGTCTTAGTGGAGGTAATGTTATTCATTATATAGTGAGGAATAGGCAGGAGCTTTTCAGTAGGTTCTTGAATGGAAAAATTGAACTAAGCACCTTCTGAATTAGTTCTTTTTCATGGTGGTTTATTTAATGTGAAGTATATTTCTATAATGTCAGATGTGCTGATAGCAAAGGCTAGTTTTAAATGATGTTTTGATGAGCTGCAATTCTGTTCCCTGTCCATTCATGTGGATAATTGAGTATTGCCCATACAGTGGACCCTTGATATTTTCAGATTTTATGTATGCTGTCTTGGAACTGTTTTTATTTATTTATTTATTTATTTTATAATTTTAATTATTTATTTTTCCCCCAAAGCCCCAGTAGATAGTTCTATGTCATAGTTGCACATACTTCTAGTTGCTGTATGTGGGACGCAGCCTCAGCATGGCTGGAGAAGCAGTGCGTCGGTGCGCGTCCGGGATCCGAACCCAGGCTGCCGGCAGTGGAGCGCGCACACTTCACCACTAAGCCACAGGGCCGGCCCAGAACTGTTTTTAATAGACTCTTAAGGGCTTATAACTAATATTTTATAATTTTGTTGAGATGTGAATGTGAATTATGTGTGCTGTCGAGTTGGTTTTGATGTTCTCATCATTAGGTACATAGACTGTGACTTCTGTGAAGTTTTACTTTACTCCATTTCCTGGGCAATTGAGCAGTCATTTTCAATTGGGGACACACATCAGAATCACCCGTGGAGCCTTTTGAAGTATAGATCAATATCTGAACCCTACTTTGGCCCTTCCAAATCGGAATCTGCAGAGATGGGGCTCAGATATCTGCATTTTTAATGATTTTACAGGTGATTGTTATGTGCTCGCCTGGTTAAGAATGGCTGCAGAAGTTTTTGTGAATTGAGGAATTTGGGAGATTTGTGATGTATGTATGTATGTATGTATCACATGTGAATGTCAAGATCCAGCTGTTATATACAGTAAGGAATTTTTGTGGAGGCTCAACCTTCTGAAAAGTGGGGGAATATTGAATGATATTAATGTAGAATAGCGGATTTGGCCCAAGAACTGTGCATTATAATCTTACTTGATTTATTAGGACTGTGACTTTGGGCAAATCACTTAACTTCTATGAACCTCAGCTAATATCCTTATCTCACAGTGTTGTTAGGCATTTTAAACTAGATAGAGTATATACAAAGCTTGTAGCTGACATTTGTAGATGCTTAATAAAACTAATATTCACATACTCACTTATAAGGAAGATTGGATTTGGATCTCCTAAGTTTTGGATACTTGAGAAATAAATCATTCTATTTGATCTGTTTAGATTTATAACCATTTTTTCCTTTTCTTTCCTTTCCCGTGTCGTTAATCTTGCAGCTCCTGGATCTCCCAGGTATCATTGAGGGTGCCAAGGATGGGAAAGGTAGAGGCCGTCAAGTCATTGCAGGTGAGTGGCCCAGGGTCAGTATCTCGGGGTATCATCCCTTTACCGGAGCTTCTTCCTTTAGGTGGGGACTGTTGGGCTTGGAGAAGATACTGCAGTGAAGGGCATAGTTTTACCTGACTTCTCACTGGAGTAGAACATCAGAACTTGAAGGGACTTCAGAGATTAACAGTCCAGATCCCCATTTGAGGAGAAACTAAGGACAAGGGAAGTGAAGCACTACGGTCCAGTGTTGCACTGTTTGTGGCCTATTCAGAACTAGAACTCAGGTTTCCTGACTCCCACCCATGCCTTTTCTTCTTCTTTTCTTTTTATTTGAAGTAAAATGTTAGGGGGCCGGCCCAGTGGCACCAGTGGTTAAGTGTGTGCACTCCGCTGTGGCGGCCCGGGGTTCGCCGGTTCGGATCCTGGGCGTGCACCGACGCACTCCTTGGCAAGCCATGCTGTGGCAGTGTCCCATATAAAGTGGAGGAAGTTGGGCACGGATGTTAACCCAGGGCCAGTCTTCCTCAGCAACAAAAAAAAAAAAAAAAAAGCATTGGCAGATGTTGGCACAGGGCTGATCTCCTCACAAAAAAAAAGAAAAAAAAAAGTAAAATGTTATAAAAGAGTAATCAAATTGCAGCAATCTGCTACCCCACCTCTCCTCACCTCCACTGCCATTCCCCATTGGCAACTGCTGTCAACTCTTCAACTGTTCCTTCTGCTACTTAGCTTCAGATTTTTAAATATCATGCTTATATTGCTATTTCATGATTAATTAATTTTACATATCATCCGTTGGTTTCATGTTATGGTAGAGAATTAGTTCTCTTATTCTCCATACCTCTCATCCTATTCTTTCGAGGAAGTTATATCACAATTTTTAGTTAACTCATCAGTCATGGTTTACATTATTGTGTAATGACTATGTAACTTGTGTTCAATGCTGAGATAAGTAGTGTATTATGACTTGGTTTCTTTTCTCTTGAAATCTGTTTTTGAAATTTGTTTTTCATGGAGTTAACAGTTGGCTCTGTTTTGTTTTGTTTACTTTTCTATGTTTGCTAATATTTTTCAAATGTTCCAATAGATCAAATGCCTATCAATCAGTATTTTTGTAGGTTCTTAAATACAGTTCCACATACAATCTTAATGATTTCATTCTTTCACCTCAACCCTGACACTACCCTCCTATACCCTGTGTCTTCGTGCTTCAGTTTGGATTGGTTGCTTTCCAGACCAGTGCTGTCCAGTAATGGAAATGTTCTGCAGTAATGGGAATGTCCTGAATCTGTGCTGTACAATATGGTAGGCCCTAAGCGTATGTGGCTGTTGAGCCCTGTAAATGTGCCTAGTGCAATTCAGGACCTGAATTTTAAATTTTATTTAATTTTAATTTAAATAGCTGCAGGTGGGGCCGGCCCCGTGGCTTGGTGGTTAAGGGCGCGCGCTCCGATGCTGGTGGCCCGGGTTCGGATCCCGGGCGCGCACCGAGGCACCACTTCTCCGTCCATCCTGAGGCCGAGTCCCACATACAGCAACTTGAAGGATGTGCAGCTATGACATACAACTATCTACTGGGGCTTTGGGGGGAAAAAATAAATAAATAAAAAATCTTTAAATAGCTGCAGGTGGCGAGTGGAGTCTGTACTGGACGGCTCTAAACTTTCTGCATGGCTCTCATCCTGAGATTTTCTTCTGTGTTATTGTGTGGGATCCCCTATTTGCTAGAGTCAGCGTCTTCCTTTTTTTTTTTTTTTTTTTTGTGAGGAAGACCAGCCCTGAGCTAACATCAGATACCAATCCTCCTCTTTTTGCTGAGGAACAGTGGCCCTGGGCTAATATCTGTGCCCATCTTCCTCTACTTTATATGGGACGCCGCCACAGCATGACGTGGCTTGACAAGTGGTGCGTCCGTGCGTGCCCGGGATCCGAACCTGCGAACCCTCTGGCCGCTGCAGCGGAGCGCGCACACTTGACGACTCCACCACTGGGCCGGCCCCTCAGTGTCTTCCTTTTTGTTGGGTGATTTTCATGTTTTGCTGAAGCACATTCTTTAGTAAATTCCTGAAGAGGGGTGAATGATAGATAAATTTTTCTGTTTTTTCATGTTTGAAAGTATTTTTATTCTACCTTTATATTAAATTATTAATTTAGCTTTTTATAGAATTATAGGTTAGAGGTCATTCGTGAATGAATATCAGAAACATTATGCTAAATTAGAAGAGCCAGGCACAAAAGACTGCATTTTGTATGATTCCATTTATATGAAATTCTCAAAAATGCAAACTAACCTATGATGACAGAAAGCAGATCAGTGATTGGGAATTAAGGGGAAGATTGATCACAAAGGGGCACAAGGGAACTTTCGTAGGTGATGGAAATGTTCTATATCTCAATTGCTTGGTGGTTACACAGGTATGTATATTTGTCATCAAACCATATGTTTAATATGGGCACAATTTATTTTTTATAAATTATACCTCGATAAAGTTGACTAAAAATATGCTAACCAGATAATCTTATTCTTTTAGAATTCTTACTGTGTTAAATCTTTTTAAACTGTTTCAGGGATTTAGGTTATTGCCTGGTTTGTATCTTCATCCTGACTTGTTTCTCTGCTAGGAAATCTAGAAGTCGACACATTTACACTAGTAGAAAACAAGGCATATGTTGCAAATTGACTTCTGGCATAAATCTTTGGTAGCCTTAAGAACTTCATGTGTGTCTTTGTATTTATAAAAAAAGTCCTTTGTCTCTTTAAGCGTCGGAGCTCCACCCCCATCCCACTTTTGAGTATTTGGATTAGTTAAATCTTTAATGAGCTTTGCTTGGGTATATATATTTTTTCAATTCTTCAGTGGCCCGAACGTGTAACTTGATCCTGATTGTTCTGGATGTCCTGAAACCCTTGGGACATAAGAAGATAATTGAAAATGAGCTGGAAGGCTTTGGCATTCGCTTGAACAGCAAACCCCCCAACATTGGCTTTAAGAAGAAGGATAAAGGAGGCATTAATCTCACAGCCACTGTAAGTGGAGAAGGTGATATGGGGTAGGCTGCCAAGGGACTGTGGTGAGTAGTGGATTGAGGTACAGGGACATTGACATTTGGAAATCACCTGGCTTCTCCCAGCACTAATTGAGCTAGCACAATGATCTTGTAACGACTGACCGAGTAGGACAAGAGTCAGTCTCGGACTTACGTTTGCAACTTCATTTCCCCTTATGGGTTATCTTTTTGGGATGGTATGGGGGCATAGACCAATCTTATGCTTGTGTGAAGTGGATGGCTGCCAATATCATGTGTTTTCATTCATTCAATACAGATTTACACAGCACCTACCATGGGCCAAGCATTGTTTTAGGCTCTGGCGGGGATGGAAGAGGGAGGGAAACAGACAAAAACCCCTGCCCTTGGTGCTAGCCCAGTGGCATAGTGGTTAAGTGTGCGTGCTCCGCTTCAGTGGCCCGGGGTTTGCAGGTTCGGATCCCTGGCATGCTCTGATGCTTCAAGCCATGCTGTGGCGGTGTCCCATATAAAGTAGAGGAAGATGGGCACAGATGTTAGCACGGGGCCAATCTTCCTCAGAAGAAAAGAGGAGGATTGGCAACAGATGTTAGCTCAGGGCTATTCTTCCTCACACACAAAAGAAAGAAGCCCTGCCCTTATATTCTAATGGGGGAAAGTAGCAAACAGAATTAATGAGTGAATATAGTATATTAGACGATAAATCTAAGGACAAAAGTAAGCTAGGGAAATGGGATGGAAAGTATTGGTGGGAGGGTTGCAGTTTTAAGTAGATTGATGAGAAGTCTTTACTGAAGGAGTGAACCAAATGGATATCTTGAGGAAGAGCATTTCATATAGAGGGAATACCCAAGTGCAAGGCCCTGAGGTAGAGCGTGCCTTAGCATATTTGAGGGACAGCAGACTGAGCAAGTAGGAGAGTAGTGAGAGATCAAGTCATGGCATAGGGCCACATATGCTTTTACTTTGCAGGAGATGGGTAACTATTGGTTGAATTCCAATCTATGGAGTAAACATGATTTGATTTAGGTTTTAATGGAGTCATTCTGGCTATTTGTTGAGAATGGACTGAAACGGGTTAAGAATAGAAGCAGAGAAATCATTTAACAGGTTACTGAATAATCCAGTCAAGAAGTGATGGCTTCTTAGACCGGGGTTATAACAGTAGAGATGAGAAGTGGTTGATTATGAAAAGATTTTGAAAGTAGCTATTAGGAATTATAGCTGTATTGTCTGTGGCTTGTGAGACAAAGAGATGACTGAGTTTTTTGTCCTGAGCTTGAAAAATAGACTGTCATTACTAACATGGTAGGACTTTGGGTGGAATAGGTTTGGAGAGGAGGGGAGGATCGGTATCTTCAGTTTGAGATGCTGATTAGACATCCAAGTGTTACTGTCAAATAGGCATATGAGGAATGATCTGGGCTAGAGATATAAATTTGGTGGTTATCAGCTTTTTTTTTCTTATTTAAGTTTCAGATATACAGCATTATAATTTGACATCTGTATACACTACAAATTGATCATCACCTCAGGTCTAGTACCATCCATCACCATACACTTGACTCCCTTCACCCATTTCGCCCACTCCTAAACCCCCTTCCCCTCTGGTAACCACTAATCTGTTCTCTGTATCTATGAATTTGATTTTGTTTGTTCGTTTGTTTTCTTTTTTTTAGATTCCACACATAAGTGAAATCATATGGTGTTTTTCTTTCTCCATTTGATTTATTTCACTTAGCATAATACCCTTGGTGGTTATCAACTTTAAAGCTGTGAGCTTAGCTGAGATCATTAGGAAGTGAGTATAAATAGAAAAGAGGTTCAAGGATTGAGTGTTGTGGCCATGCGCCGTGCCCCCCGCCCCTTATTAGCAAGTAAGACTTCTCAAACAAAGAAGGAGAAGGAAAACCAGAAGAGTTTGGAATCTTGGAAGCCAAGTAAAGAAAGTGTTTCAGATTGGAGGAGTGGTCAGTTCTGTCAAATGCTTCTTCTAAGTTATGTAATTGATGATTGAGAATTTCATACAATATTTAACATTGTAAAGGTCCAGAGGATATGACTGGCATAGGTTTAAGCTGTCCTGCCCAAAAGATCTCTCCCATTGTCCTGTCATAATGTTTGAATTTGAGCATTCAATATTCTTTTTGTATTGATTTGCTAAGGCTGCCATAATAAAGTACCATAGACTGGGTGGCTTAAACCACAAAAATTTGTTTTCTCTTAATTCTAAAGGCTAGCTATGTGAGATCAAGGTGTGAGCAGGATTGGTTTCTTCTCAGGCCTCTCTCCTTGGCTTGTAGATGGCTGTTTTCTCCCTGTGTCTTCACATGGTCATCCCTCTGTGTGTCTGTGTCCTAATCTCCTTTTCTTGTAAGGATACCAGTTACATTGGATTAGGGCCCACCCATATGACCTCATTTTAACTTAATTGCCTCTTTAAAGACCCTGTTTCCAAACAGTCACATTCTGAGATACTGGGGTTAGGACTTCAACATATGAATTTGGGTGGGGGCTAGGGACACAGTTCAGCTCATAGCACCTTCTTTTGAGTTTGGAATGGTTTTTAGTTTTTAAATATTTCCTGCTAAAAGTCAACTACTCTTCATCCAGGATAACAGTCTTTAGAATGAGTTTGCACCTTATCTAGGATTATGCAGGTACATTAATACATACTCTTGGGAGAGTTTTTTTGTTCTTTAACCAGTCATTGTCTTCTATGCCTATTCAGTGCCCTCAGAGTGAGCTGGATGCTGAAACTGTGAAGAGCATCCTGGCTGAATACAAAATTCATAATGCTGACGTGACTCTGCGTAGTGATGCCACAGCGGATGACCTCATTGATGTGGTGGAAGGAAATAGGTACTGATCGAGTGTGCAGTCTCATGCCCGAGTTCGAATTTTTGAAGCCTTGTAATGGGAACAGCATTTGATTGTGAATCTGGCAGACATTGATTCTAATTCCAGTTGTGCTGCTATTTCAAATAATAATGGGCCTTGGTTTCTTTAGCTATGAAATGAAGGGTTGGTCTTGATTTCTAACATTTTTCTTTGCTCTGAAATTTGATTATGATGGTCAAATTCCCCATTCCAGTTACTTGCTGTGAACAAGGCTATCCCCTAAGCTGTGTGTCATATGATGGTTGAAGAGAGTTTGTAGGTTCTCAGTCTGCTTTCCAAGAATTAATCCGTCTGAGAAATCCTGTAAGCTGTCCTACAGAATTTAGAGCAGGCGAGGCTATGTCTGTTTTCTCTAAGGGTAACCTTAGGGTACATAGCTAAAACCCTATTCCATGAAATATTACTCTTATTAATATTTGAAATTAAATAATAATTGAAACCACTGTTAAAATTATTTCTGGCATTTGGATATAATATTTTCTAGTTGCTTTCCTGTTCATTTGTTCCTATTTGTTGTATGTATCTGTTTGATCCTCATTTGAAAACAAACAAAAGCCAGTGCTTTGAGTTAGGCATTTTATAAGTGAGGCAATTGAAATCTGAGAAGTTGTAGCTTGCCTAATTATTAGTAACCTTAGCTGCCATATTGATTGGACATTAGGGTTGTGACATTGCTAGATATTGTGTTAAAAAAATTTTTTTTAATTCTTTAAAAATTATCATGAAATACATTATTAGAAATATATTCTTACAATTCATAAATAACTTTGTGGGAAATCTATTCTGAAAATTGCCCAGGAACATATCTAGAAAGTGACAGAGCTGGTAGTAGGTTCAGTCTTTGTGACTCCAAAGCTTGTGTTCTTTCCACCACAGCATGTTCTCTCAGAAATTACCTACATGACTGGGCTAACTAGGGCCTAAGCTTGTTACTTCTTAACCCTTAGTTCACTTTTGGGGTGTTCTACCTTATTTTGGTAGGCAGCTTTTTTTTTTGGCTGATCTGCCTCTTTGACAGTCTCTAATTTTGGGTCCGGGGTGAGGGGGTGCTAATAATCAGACTGACAGTCTTGTCAACAGCTCCAGACTAATATCCTGTTTTTCTTCTGCTTCTGTAGAGTTTATATCCCCTGTATCTATGTGTTAAATAAGATTGATCAGATCTCCATTGAGGAATTGGATATCATCTATAAGGTGCCTCACTGTGTACCCATCTCTGCCCATCACCGCTGGAATTTTGATGACCTGTTGGAAAAGATCTGGGACTATCTGAAATTAGTGAGAATGTAAGTCTTAGTGGACAGGATAATATTGCTATGGGAATTAAACCAGACTGACTAAAATGATACCCTCTGGAGCTCACTAACATAATCTGTCTGTTTTGGAGATACAAATACAGCCATGCACTGCATAATGACATTTTGGTCGACGACGGACCACAGATATGACAGTGGTCCCATAAGATTAGTACCATATAGCCTAGAAGTGTAGTAGGCTATACTATCTAGGTTTGTGTAAGTACACTCTATGATTGTTTGCACAATGACGAAGTGGCTTAACAATGCATTTCTCAGAACGTACCCTATTGTTAACCAACCCAGAACTGTAAATTAATTCCTATCATCTGCTAGGCCATATTGAGGGCAGTTCTACCTCAAGTTGGAGATAATCTGGGTCTTATCTTCTCAGGGGTGATGGAGGGTTGATTTGCATTCAACACATGAAACATTCCAAGAAGTAGGCAGCCTCTGCTTCTTCTCTCTTCTAGTTACACCAAACCCAAAGGACAGTTGCCAGATTACACATCCCCAGTGGTGCTTCCTTTCTCCAGGACCACAGTGGAGGATTTCTGTATGAAGATTCACAAAAATCTTATCAAGGAATTTAAATAGTAAGTATCATGAGCATGTGGTGCCTTCTTTTCCCTGTGAGCTGGTGATTCCACCAACTAGCAATTCTTAGGATAGCATTAAAGAAATTAGGCATGAGGGAGGCTTGCTTGATAAGAACTTTGTAGTATTTTCTTAAAACCATGCCAAGTTGGAGCAGGAAGAGCTGTAGAAGCCTCTTCAGGTTGAGAGGGCTGACAGTACAAAGGGCTCTGACTTTCTCTTTGTGGCAAACACAAATGTTAATTCTTCCTGCCAGCATTATACTGGTCTCCACTGGGTACTGAGTCCACCTCTAAACTTTGAGCGTGGGTAAATCCCTCCTAATCTCTTTCTCATACTTTTCACTGCTGATACAGGCTGAAAAAAATTTTTTTAACATCTTATTTTGAACTAATTTTAGACTTACAGAAAAGTTGCAAAAATAGTACAGAGAGTTTCCTTATGTCCCTCACCCACTTCTTCTAACATTATCAGCTCACATAACCATAGTAGTTACCAAGAACAGGAATTAGCACTGGTACAATATTATTAACTAAACTATAGATCTTATTTGAATTTTAATACCTTTTCTACCAATGTCCTGTTTGTGTCTCAGGAATCTACATGGCATTTAGTTGGTACTTCTCCTTAGTCTTCCAGTGTTCCATTCTCCCAGTAATATTTCCTTAGTCTTTCACTGTCTTGATCGCCTTGATACTTTTGAAGAGTACTGATCATTGTTTTTGTAGAATGTCCTTCACTTTGGGTCTGTCCAGTGTTCTCTCATAATTGAAATGAGATTACGCGTATTTGGTAAGAATAGCACAAAAATGATGATGTGTCCTTGGTGCATCATATCACAGGATTCATGATGTTGGTATGTTTTATTGATGATGTTTACTTTGATCACTTGGTCAAGTTGGTGTTGGCTGGGTTTCTCCGCTGTAAAGATACTATTTTTCTCTTTGTGTTTGATAAATATCTTGAGGGAGATAGCTTTGAGACTATGCAAATCCTGTTTCTCTTCAAACTTGCCTGCTGATTTTAGCATCTATGTGTGGAGCTTGTCTGCAACACTTATTGCTGTGTTGTTTGCCTAATGATGATTCTTTTTTTTGGTGAGGAAGATTGGCCATGAGCTAACATCCATTGCCAATCTTCCTGTTTTTGCTAAGGAAGATTGCGCTGAGCTAACATCTGTGCCCATTTTCCTCTATTTTGTATATGGGATGCCACCACAGCATGGCTTGATGAGTGGTGCACAGGTCCACGCCCAGGATCTGAACCTGTGAACCCCGGGTTGCCAAGGTGGAGTGTGCGAACCTGACCACTATACCACCGGGCCGACCCCAAGCCTAGTGATGATTCTTTATTTCCCTCTGTTGCTTTACACTTATTTATTCAAATTTTACTGTGAGTTAGAGCTATTACTTCTCCCCTCTTTATTAATTTAATCCATAATTTATTTATATCAGTATGAACCCTTGGATATTTATTCCATGGGCTATAATCCGATATTATCATTGTTTTGTTGCTTAGCTTGTTCCAGCTTTGGCCATTAGGAACTCCTTCAGATTGGCTCCTGTGTTCTTTTGATAAGCTGCCACCTTTTTTTTTAAGCATTTCCTTACTTATTGGCACTAATGGATATTCCTCATTCCTAGTGCTTTTCCCTGCACCAGCCCTGGAATCAGTCGCTTCTCCAGGAAGCCCTGGTTTACAAGATCTGTATGCTAGGTTTGCTCATTGTTAAAAGTGGACTATCATTGCTTGTAGGCCCTCTCAGCAGGCAGAGCTAGGAAATAAGTGTGTAGATACTAACCCATGCTTACAAACATATCTTTATTTCTTCTATAGCTCTTGTCCTATTTATCTAATTCATCTGTCCATCCATCCTTATCTATCTTAAAAACCATGAGTTTATACTGTTACCACTGATTCCAGTTCAACACCACAGGGTTCATTTTAGCCTTCCCCTTTTTTTAATTTTTAACTTCTTTCTCCAACTGTGAGAAACCTGGCTGCAATTATCTATAATGTACTTACTTATTTAATTCTAGTGTGTATATAAAGTAGTTTAGAGTTGCAACCTATAATCCTGTGAGAAATATTTTAACTAACTGGATTATAGTATTTCTGAATAGCTCTTTTCATCTTTACAGGCTGAAACTTAAAAAATTGTTTTAAAAACAAAAGAAAATAGAAAATAATTGTAGAAAGTCAGGAAAGCATAGAAACAGTGACTTTTTAAAAATACTTGTTTCTGATCCTAAGAATACTGAAAGAGTGAAGTCTTTTAAGCTTCACATTCCTTTTATCTAAAATAACTATATTCCACATGTAGGTGCTAATTTCCATGATTCTCAAACCATTACATTTTGGCACATACTTGAATTAGTGAAGGAGAGTCTTGGGAAAAGTTAGACATTTTCTTTTTTCAAGCTTCATAGATTTCTGTATAGCGCGTGCCGTCCGTGGTAGCAGAACTCTGTTCAAAGCCTCTAGAACTAAGATTAACTGGGGAATTAAATGAAAGGCGAGGAAAATATTTTGGAGAAGAGATGCTTCAAAGCAAATAGAATTTTATTTGGTTACTATTTACCTGTTTTTGTTTTTAATTATTGCACAGATAGCATTTTAGCCATCTTAGTAGTAGAAAAAAATTCAGCTGTATGCCTACTAATTATAACATTTGTCCCTTTTCTGTTCTCATTGTGTCCTTGACCACGTGCACACATCCTTTGATCATTTACCATGTAAATGTTTTCCATTGTTACAAGATTCAGGGCTGGCCCCGTGGCTTAGCGGTTAAGTGCCTGCGCTCGGCTACTGGTGGCCCGGGGTTCGGATCCCGGGCGCACACCGAGGCACCTCTTCTCCGGCCACGCTGAGGCCGCGTCCCACATACAGCAACTAGAAGGATGTGCAACTATGACATACAACTACCTACTGGGGCTTTGGGGGGGGGGGGAAAGGAGGATGATTGGCAATAGATGTTAGCTCAAAGCTGGTCTTCCTCGGCAAAAAGAGGAGGATTGGCATGGATGTTAGCTCAGCGCTGATCTTCCTCACAAAAAAAAAAACAAGATTGATATATGTCATTTTTATAAGCATGTTTTTCCTATGTTTTGCTACTTTATGTAGTTTTTTAGTCTTCATCCACACACCTTTCCCTTTTTATTTCTTTAATCTAGAAGTAGGATTAATGATTATATGGCTTTTGATATGTTTGGCTGCATTGCTTTCCAAAAGGACTGAACGTGTTTACGTTGCCATCAACAGACTAGGAGGCGCTGTCTTTACTGCAGGTGTTGAGTACGACTGCTAAAAACTAATTTTCTAGTTTAAGATAGCAAAATGGTCACCTTGCATTTATCTTGCTTGTTAGTGCATTTGAAAATTTTTATATATATAGTCATGCGCTGCATAACGACGTTCCGGTCAACAATGGACTGCATTTTGGACAGTAGTCCTATAAGTTTAGACCATATAGCCTAGGTGTGTAGTAGGCTGTACTATCTAGGTTTGTGTAAGTACAGTTGGCGATGTTCGCACAATGACGAAATCGCCAAACGACGCATTTCTCAGAATGTATCCTAGTTAAGTGACACATGACTGTATTTGTTTTACTGATGCTGTTATATCTGTTCTTGTTATTTGTTTATTTGTTTTTTAAAAAGTGAAGTCTTGTGATTTCTGTTTGGAATATAGATTTTTAAAGAAGTTTTGGTGCAAGACAATATAATAATAACATGGCCATCGTTTTCTACCCCTTGGTGCATAGTTCTTAGCCTCTGTGAGGCAAGTCTCAGTGTCTTGTTCACTAATTTCCATCAGCACAACATATTCTTAGTATTGAAGGCCCACGGATAAAAATTACCTTCATATATTCCATGAAGATATGTGTCCTTGACCACATATCAGTATGGTTTCTTGAAAGGGAGGGAGAGTTTTCCTAGCATGGCTGAGGAGGGAGGCCTCAGTACCCACTGGTGGTATCAGTAGACCCAATAAAAAATAGTATTCTGTAACAATCTATAAATGACATTTTATCTGTAAGAATCAATTTCCAATCTGAATTATTTCAAGGTGTTTCTCTGTAACGCATGCTTTCTCCTTTTAATTTGCCACAGTGCTGGGGAAGCTGAAGCCCTGGGCTTTGACTGTGGTCTGTGACTGGGGAGAGGGGACCCTGGATGTTGCAGGCCTGTGGCTCTTAAGAACTGGAATGCTAAGTCTGAGCAGAAAGGTGGTACCCAGGTAGATAGGGCAGAAGCTAGGTGATTATTTACACTGACTAATCTTTTTTCCCTTCCATACAGCGCACTGGTCTGGGGTCTCTCTGTGAAACATAATCCTCAAAAAGTGGGTAAAGACCATACGTTGGAGGACGAGGATGTCATTCAGATTGTGAAGAAGTGAAACCTTCCCCTTCTGCATCTGCCGGGCCAACCACAGCAGCTTTCCGCACGGCCAAGCACTCTACCCCAAACCCCTCTGGCTTTGGCAGCCACTGGATCGGGATTCAGGGGAGGGAGATAGAGGCACCCAAACTGGAACTTCGCTTGTATTAACTTGGTGTCACCTTGTATGTTGAACTGCATAAAGGACCTGGTAGGCCAGCTGGCTATGTGCAGTTCACGTGTCATTGTCAGAATTTGTTTTGGAATGGGCTGAATGAAATGGGTATGTACAGTGAGACAGCTGCAAAAGGGGTACTTGGGAGCTTGGTCCTGAGTGTGAAACAGATAAAAATGTGACTGCAACATTTTATTTGATGTTTAGTCATGGGAAACTCTTCCAACTGGATGTGGCTTTCAGTCCTTTCAAGTGGTCTTTCCCAGATGATACTGGAGAAAGGAAGGGCTTGATGTAAGTTAACTGATTATTCCCTGCGAGTCTAGCCCATTTGGGAGGTTGTGTAGTGTGGCAGTTACCCTGACCAGGCACATCGGAGTTTGAATTGCAGGCCTACCTCTAATTAGCTGTGGAACCCTACATAAATTACTTAACCTCTTTAAGCCTCAGTTTTCTCATGTAACATGGCGATAGTAATAGCACTTACCTTCTAGAGTGGAGATTGTTAGTATTAAGGGAGATGCTTAGCACAGTATCTGGCGTAAAAGTACTTGGTCATTGTTGGCTGCTGTTGCCACTGGTCCCTTTCCTTTACCTGGGCTCCTTGCCTGCCCTAGTCAGCACAGCTGTATTTCTGTGTTGGGCTGAATGTTGAGCTGAACAATGCTGCCTGCTGGGCCATTAAGTGTCTTCCGTAGCCCAGCCTTTCTACTTCAACCCCCATGGCAGTCCTACCCTCAACCTCATAACCCGGGCAAAGGCATGGAGGCAGAACATTGAAGTGAGGAAACCAGTGTAATCAGAGCAGGTTTGTGTATACACATGTGTATGTATTGAGGTGGGAGGTTAGGTTAGGAGGAGAGGTGGGGTCAGGACTATTTGAGAAGGTACTAAGGGCATAATCAGAGGTTTGGGGCTGGAAATAAGGGAATTTAAAAGGATTACTCTGGGCTGGCCCCGTGGCGTAGCGGTTAAGTGTGTGCACTCTGCTGCTGGCGGCCCCCGGTTCGGATCCCAGGCACGCACCAACGCACCGCTTGTCAGGCCATGCTGTGGCGGGGTCCCATATAAAGTAGAGGAAGATGGGCATGAATATTAGCCCAGGGCCAGTCTTCCTCACAAAAAATAAATAAAAGGATTACCCTGATAATGGGAATTTATTGGCAAAAATCTTTGTGCAGTGGACTGGGCTAGTGAGAATATGGGCAGAGGGAGGGTGTGGGCATATAGGTGCAGAAGAGAAATCTAAACTTGGTAACTGACTGACTTGTTTTTTGGAAGAAGAGAAGTCAAAGATTATTTCAGTATGGGTTACAGGGATGATGGAGAAGGGTAGTCTCTGAGAAAATCAGGAAGGGAAACAGATTTGCAGGAAGCCCAAGTTTGATTTTAGATGAAATGAGCTAGAGCTAGAGGGATGGAGATGGGGGATTATCCACATACTCAGACTTTTCCAGTACTTGTTACTCCTGCTATCTTAGCGACAGTTGTTTCCCTCTGATAGTCTTCCTGGATCTTGGGCTTACACTGTCCCCAGACCCAGGAAATAAGCCCCTTAGGCTTGATATCCTAGTCACTTTGCCAGGATATAGACCTTGATATCACTGGTGCATTCATGATAGAGGCCATAATCTATAGAGCTTGCCCCAACTCTTCAGAGAGACATTGGCTTTCTGAGCTATGGGATTTCCAGCAAGGTTTGCTCTCCAGCCAGAGCATATATTGGGTTTTGGGGGAATCCTCACATCCAAATTCACTTTCATGAGCATGAGTTTAGCACTGCCAGGATGTTGGAGAGAGGTTTCTGAAATCCAGTTCGTCCAAGGCCTCAGGATGTGGTTTGAATAGGTCTTGCTTCCATCATTCAACACCCTCCCCTCCATTGGTGGTCTCCTGGTGCTTGAGGAGAGCATTACCCTACCTTTCCTTTCTCTTCCTTTTGGGCTCAGACTTGGGAGTTCAGGTAGAGGGGTACAATTTTGAGTTAGGAATGCTGTCTGGGTAGGGCTGCCAAGGAGGGGCATTTCTACAGCTAAAGACTTTCTCTCCATGCACTCCCAAGACTATAGTGGTTTGGCTGTCACAGCATGGCTTGAATTTCGTGTGCTGTTACATACTCTGTTTCTTTAGTGATCTTTTTTTTTTTTTAGCACAACTAAGCAGACCTACTGTCTTGTGCCATTAATTAGTTAAAATGCTTTTAGCTGTATTTAACAGCAAACACTAATTTAACCAGCTGAAATGAAAGGAAACTTGGTCTCTTATGTAAGTTGTCTGGAGCTCAGGTGGGCTTGTGGCAGCTGTTAGGTCTTCGAGGCTCCGAAGTCTTTTCATCAAGCTGCTCTGTCCCTTGCAGTTTGTTGGCTTTGTTGGGCAGCTGGCTCCTCAGTTACAGAACGTCTGCTGCAGTCCCAGGCTTTACATCAGCATCCAGACGATAATAAAGAGGGCTAAATCTTACCATCTTGGGAAGCCGTTTCCCAGAAGCTGCCCAGCCAATTTGTCCTTGTGTCTCATGGCCTACATTGGGTCATGTGCCCATTCTTGAATCAGTTGTTGGTAAAGGGAATAGACTTATTGAAGAACCACAGTTTACTCCTGTAAGTTATCTTCATTGCTGGATTGTTGGTGCTCGTCTCTTTCATTTACAAAGAAGGGCCAGTGGACCTGCCCTTCCTTCCATCTTAATAGAGCCTAGCTTATAAGACACTCAATAGCTATCTATCTCTTGAAAGAAGGCCTGGCTGTACTCTCCATTTTTTTCCCACTTCTCATTTATTACCACTGACTTTCCAAGTACTGGCTGCTCAACTGCTTCCTTTAGGAGGCACTGTTCTTTCCTCTTCTCTCTGACCCCACCTCCTTAAAGGTAGGTCTTCCATGAGGTTCTCTGCGGCCCTCTGCTGTTTCAGTTTGAGGAGGCCACCTACCTCCTTAGCTTCTCTTTAAACTTTATTTTGCACATTTTCCCAGCCCTGGTGATTTCTTCTAAACTTGTCTCATGCCTGCTAGATTTCCCAAAAGTTACTCCATGTGAGACATCTCTTGTTAGGTGAGACATCACTTCCTTCTGCCCTTACCCTATTATCAGGCTCTTAGCTCCTAGAAGACTGCATTAGCATCCTCTTTTGCCTCTACCCCTTCCCATATACCAAAATAGTTTTAAAATCTGCCCATCTAGCTTCTGCTGTGCTATTCTTGGCAACACTCCTTTATTTCCTTCTGGCTCCATCTCACTAATCACTGGCTGATGGCTTTGCCCTTTGCTTGGTGCCTACACTTGTTCATTTCTGTCCTACTAGTTTCTAGCCTGAAAAAGAAGCCTTCACTGGCAGCTCCAACCCACTCCTCCCCACCTTACACCTACAACTGTTGGTTCAATATGAAGAAGAAGTGCAAGTGGACACAGGAAAGGTGGAACTGGATTCAAGCCTCTATGTTCTGCCATTGTTGAGACTGCTTTCTAGCTTTACCTGTGGAAACAAAGCATTTGCAAGAATTCTAAACATAGGATCTATTTCTGAAGCTGAAGAATCACTTGGCGAGCAAATCCCACTGTGGGGGAGGGAAGAGACAGACCTCATGCTCACTGCACAAAGGCAGGTTTTGTTGAAAGATGACCTGCTTTCTTGTGTATCTGGAAGGGCAGGGTGGGCAGCTCCAGGTTTACTGGCAACACCCCTGACACTCAAAGACTCAGGCTGTTTTTACCCTTGCTGTCAAAATCCAACCACCTTGCCCTTCACCTGTGAATCAAAATGGCCTCATTATTTGGCCTCTAGCATCAAGTCAAAGTAGCTTTCATGGCCCTAAATGGACAAGTATTGAGAATTTGGGCAAAGTGAAGAGCTTGAGAAATAAGTATTGTCAATTCAGATCAGTGGACTGGAAAACCTTCAGTTAGTAAAGGGGACTCAAGGCCACAGCTATAGTATTCTGATAGAATCCTCTTCTTCAATGCTGTGCATATAGTTAAGGTGAATAATGAAAATAATTGTGAGCTGAGAAATGAGATACCAAATACAAGGAATCAGTTAACACAGGTATCAGTCTTGAGGGAAGTTCTATATGGAAAAAATTAGATTTTAATGGATTGAATCAGAACTCTGAGGCCCCATTTTTCCCTATAGGGGACTATGAGCTAGAGAATAGGATGCCAACAAACTAGCTGACTTTTGCCCCAGTAAACGTGGATTTGTTTAGGAGAAAATACCATGTACATGATTACCTAATGAATTGTTTTCACTAGGTGGGTTTAATCTTAGAAACTGCATACTATAATCTGGTATTAGCCACAAGGCTGCATATAGGGTGAGCCCAGCCTCTACTGGGCTATTGGGGTCTTTAAGGCTCAAGAAAGAAGGCCATTGCTTCCTCCTTCTAGATGAGATATAAAGAGTTCAATTCCATGAGTTTTAAAGAAAAATTAAAACTTGAGATTATTTCCCTTAGGGAACCTACTGAGCCTCATGGGACAGCTGGTTGGAAACAAGGAGGAAGGGATTCAAGAAGAAATAAACACAACAGTGCCATTCACTTCATTCACACACTTAGCATATGCAGCTTTAATCAACCAAAGAAAAAAGTCCCAAATGTACAAGTGAAAAAAATCCAAACTGTTGACACAGGCTCAACTAATATCAGCTACTTTTATGTACAGCTGTATAAGTTCCAAAAAGCTATCCTATATGTATATACAAAAGTTGTTTATACACAGGTCTGTACATAAGGGTCTATACATTTATTTCCTCAGAACCCTTAGGTGCCACCTCTTGGTGAAGACACCAACACTTCATTCACATATCTTACAAACAAAGAAAGACTGTTTCCAGGATTGACCACACTGTGCATCCTGTATTTAGACCACGTAGGCTCCACTCGATTGGTTAAGATCCTTCCGTCATAATACGGACCACACCAGGTGCCTGGCCCCCCCCCTCAAAAGCTTCGCAGAGTGCTCCAAAGTAGAAGCCCGTAAACCAACCCGAGATGAGGAAGCAGAATCCTGTCCAGGGTGCCGCCACAGGTCTAGGCTTAGGTGAGCCTGCCTGCCCTGCT